ACTGTAGGCCTGCATCTTATAGTCTAGTAAATTCTGTCGATAATCATATGCTGCTTTCTATCAAGTAATGTTTGTTTGGATAATGCATTTATTCCATCTCATGACTCTTTGATTCCTTGGTCCAGCCTTGTGGCTTATCTAACTTTGGCATAGGAAAGTTGCATATTTATGAAGGTATAACAGATTCTTTAGGTGGCTAATTATCTGTGATGGAACATTTGACGCTTTTGCTACTTTTACTAGTTTTATAAATTTTCCTTTCAAGTATGTTGAGCATAAATCTATTTCTCCTCGTTGCTGTCTTCTGGAAAGTTTAAGTCCTAGCTATTTTCTTACATATGTTTGGGTTTTTGTACAACAGTGAGACTGTCAAATTTGGCCATGTCACTTTCTTCTGGAATGGAAATCGTTCTGGTTATTTTAATCAAGAAATGGAGGAATATGTGGAAATTCCAAGTGATGTTGGAATTACCTTCAATGTCCAACCTAAGATGAAGGCAATAGAGATTGCTGAGAAGGCAAGGGACGCCATCCTTAGTGGCAAATTTGACCAGGTAATCAATGCCTTATATAATGTGATGAATGAACTCTCATTTCTTGTTGAACAGGTGACTGATATGTTGTTTCACATGATTGTTCAGGTTCGTGTCAATCTACCAAATGGCGACATGGTGGGACATACAGGAGACATTGAGGCCACAGTTGTGGCATGCAAGGTTGCTGATGATGCTGTCAAGGTACAACTTCCTTGCTGTTAGATCTTTTTTTCTTTTCTTTTTCTTTGGACTTGATTATTGTATGGTCTATGCTACCATTATTTCTGGCTAACTTGTGTGCTGGTCCATCTGGTATCACAAATTCTAATGAGCAGTGAAGTTCTTAATTAGGTATTGAGATTTGCTGTTGATTGGGGTATGGTGTCATCCATCTGTGTGGATGCTTTTATTCTTATTAATTTCATTCGCTCATCATTTGGACAGCGACAATGAATTATTAGTTCTCGGGAAATCCCACCAGGGAATTTATTTCTCTTCAGAATAAAGCTAACACAATTAAATGAATTACAAGAGCCAGCCCACGTAGCAAAGCATTAGAGTACTTGGAAAGTGGTTAATAGTAACTGTGTTGCTGCCATTTTTTTTCATTTAAGACTTGATAGTGAAGGTCAAATAAAAAAGTAGTCCTCCAGTGCAATTTATGGGAATATGAAAGCTGCCCCCAACTTTGGACATATAAGCGGTAACTAGGGGCTGATGGAGGGGAAAAAATTAGTAAAAAGGTTTATGCACATCGCCTAGATAGAGATGTGAACATGAAATTAGTAACTGCATTTTCAATGAGCGAGTTGTATAATTTCTGTTTGACTCGCTGTCCCCTCTCTATCCCTTTTATTCCTGGCATGCTGTGTTTTCTTTGCCCTGCCATTTTGTTACCTTCTTGTTGACTGGAGATATGCTTTACCACAGATGATCATTGATGCAATAGAGCGAGTTGGTGGAATCTTTGTAATTACTGCTGATCATGGTAATGCTGAAGACATGGTCAAGAGGGATAAGTCTGGCAAACCTCTTTTAGATAAGAATGGCAACCTTCAGATACTCACTTCCCACACTCTTCAACCAGTAAGTAACAAACAGTGTCTATTATCCCCATTGGATTTAGTAACATGGTGGTTTCAGTGCTTATTGTTCTCCGTTTGCTTGATTTGATATAGAGATATAGAGTTAACCGATTAAATATGCCCCCTTCCTGTGTAGGTGCCTATTGCAATCGGAGGGCCTGGACTGGCCCCTGGTGCCAGGTTCCGCAATGATGTTCCCACCGGTGGACTTGCCAATGTAGCTGCAACCGTGATGAATCTGCATGGATTCGAGGCTCCTAGCGACTACGAGCCCACTCTGATTGAAGTTGCTGATAACTAAGCTTAATTAAAACACATCAGTAATCTCATAAATTTTGATTATAAGCAACTATAATTGCAGAAGCCCCTCGAGAACTATGTATTATCCGGTAAAAGAAGTTGTAATTTTGATTGAGACTTGAGAGAGAACATTGTAATTTCTGCCCCCTCGGTGGATGACAGAATTGTATTTCAAATGGCGGTCTTATTAGTGATTGTGCTCTTGTTTGTGATGATATCATGACATGCAGTTGCCTGTGAGCTGTGAAAGAGCACTACTGTCTGTTTTGGGAAGAATGCCATGTTTTCTTGTTTATGCCATGAAGATTTATTAGCAATACAATCTGTCTACTAAGAAAGTTTATGTAGTCTCTTGAATGCATTAATGTTGAAGGCATGAAAATTAATCGCGGCGTTATCATCTAGGCAAACGAGGCTTTACTTGTTGCAGCCCGTGGGTGATCTTGATCATTGACTCTGTTTGGTGCTTTGATAGTGTCAGCCAAAAAAGTGCTTGTTTTTTTTTTAAAAAAAAAAATATTAAAATCTTTTATATTAGATTTCCTTTAATTTTTAATATTATTATATTAAAATCATTAAAGAAATTTAAAAAATATTAATTTTATATTTTTAAAAAATAAACACTTTTAAATACAATCTTACACACAAAAATAAACAACTCGGACATCCGCCGAATGGGTCCCCACTTGGAACTCCATAATTAATTAGTTAAGGTGTCTTGCTTTTATTTTATTTTATTTTATTCGTGGATCGCTAGCCAACCATGGTGATGAATAATATATAAATAAAGTTGTTGGAAAATTAAAATAAAATAAAATATTTTGACCTCAACGTTATCCAACCGGAGGACGCCCACACGCACGCTCCGACCCTATGCGTTGGATTGGACCCGACGCAACCCTCCCTCCTTCCCTACCTTATTTGAATTTCAACTCAACCGGAGGGGATAGACGCCCACACACGCTCCTACCCTATCCGTTGGATTGGACCGGACGCAACCCTCCCTCCTTCCCTACCTTATTTGAATTTCAAAATAAAGCAGCAACGCTAATATGTAAGTGCATTCTCATACTTGACTCTTGATATACCAAGACCATATAAGAAGTATTTCTGGTGTGAAAGATCTATTAATAATGGCAATCACAGGGCATCCTCAACTCTTAGAATAGTAGCTCTGATACCAGGTTGAATTTAAGTGAAGGGAGTGAGACGGTACAAGGAGAATTGTAATGTGAAAGATCTATTAATAATGGCAGTCACAGGGCATCCCCAACTCTTAGAATAGTAGTTCTGATACCAGGTTGAATTTAAGCGAGGGAGTGAGACGGTACAAGGAGAATTGTATTGAATGGTATGATTTGTTTACGAGAGGGGTATCCTATTTATAGTCTAGTCTAAGGGGAGTGTTTCTCATTCTAACTGATGTGGACTAAACATACACATTGACATATAATGTAATAGTGTATATAATGTGTACATTAGCAACAGCATTATATACAACCTTGGCAATCCTTCAGCAAAGAAGTTCTTATCCTTTTCAAGCCAAGGTATATAATGTATATGTTCGTCCCGCACCGGTTGGAATGAGAATGTCTATAATATTGTTGCTAATGTATATGCATCCTCGTGTTATCTTGAACTGATTTTCAGAATATAGGGTGTGAATCAAGTCAGCTCGATGTTTGTTGATTATGAAAGTATATAGTTCACAATATAGGTGACACGACTGAAATTTGGCCAAGAAATAGTATAGGCTGATTTAAATATTTTTTAACAAATGGTTGATTTTGTCATATTACTGATATGCTCACACTGACAAATGACAACGTAGATCGTACTGTTTTTGAATATTGTCAGGATTTATGTATGTTCTTTAATCACTATTTTGCTCAAAAGAGCCGGATTATGACAATAATGTGGATGGGAACATGAAATCAAATTTTACAAGTGATGTGAGTAGGAGGAATATGCAAATTCGACGTTTCCATGATACTCTAATAAATTTCTTTACTGAATAGGTTGAGTCCTGCAACTACGGTTTCCAAGCTGGCTACTGATCCATCACTTTGGCTCTTCTTCCTTTGCCAATATCACCTTTATATTGGGATACTAATATCATGTTTTGTTGGATAATGCAGAAGATGCTCAAGTACGATCCAGCTGAAAGAATCTCGGCCAGAGCAGCTATGGATCATCCCTATTTCCACAGCCTTGACAAGTCGCAGTTCTGAAGCTACAAGGTTTTGGGAGATTTTGCTTTCTGCTTCCATCATGCATTTTCTAGGATTAGATACCTTTATGTAAAAGATGTTTGGTTCATCGTCTTGGTGATGTAACTTCTAAACTTTGTCACAACTTGTATGATTTTATTTTTTATTTTTTGCAATATATGCGTACAATTAATCTTTGCGCGCCAAATTTGCAAGATTTCATCCATTGTTCTTTGAAGAATGAAATTAATCTCTGGATAACTGCTGATCAAGTGTAAAATATCGCATGTATATGTGAATGGCGATTCAGTTGTTCACTGTTCATGCCTCTTTCGATGTTTTAAATGATAATTAAATGTTCATTGTTGAAGGAATGCGTCCAGGTGCTGTAAGGTCTTCTATATTGTAGACTTTCGTTAGTAAAATGAAGTGTGATGGACAATAAAATCGCTCATGCACTCAACTTTGTGTTCCCTGTCATATCTTGACTGTATGTAAATGCATTGCTAAGTTCTGATCACTATGTCTTCCAAGAACTTGGCAATGGAAAGGTCTGAGTAAATATATCTGTTGCAGTGAAATAAAACATGTCACTGAACATTACTTCTAGAAGCTAATTTGGTGCGTTCACATAGCATTATTTTTCAGGGAAGCTTATAATGTCTTAAAAGAAAGTATTTGGCTGGTTATGAATATAGCAGTAACTAGACTAGAGGTTTCCTGAGGAGTGAAGTTTGCTAGATTTAGTTGCACTGTTGCTGCATGCATACGCTTTCATGTGTTGTTTATATTGCAGCTAGTATTGCAATGCAAAATGTGGGAAAACATCTCCCACTTTTTCTTTTTTTTTTGGTTTTTTCGAAGCAGAATTTGTACATGAGAAGAAGCAGCAGAGTACTAGATAGAATATTGTTTGTGGTGGATGGTAGATGTCTTTCCTTTATTGGGCATCCAACGTTTTTCTCCCTTCACCTGGAAACTATTCAGGATGCCCTTCTCTCCCCCTCCATGGCTTGAGAATCTGAAATGAGCAGAGCAAACTAGCGTCAACACACATAAGGGCACCTGCATTGTTGAACTCTCCACAGTAGTTCGGTGCCGAGAATATGGTAACCAGCTGTCTGTCTGCGAAGAATTCATAGCCATCCTCGACTACCTGTCAATCATTTCCCATCGAAGAACACCTTGGGTTATTTATCACATTCTTATTCCTAGTACAAGTATTAGGGCAGGAAATGGAAGGTAATGGACTTTGATCTGATGAAAGGGGGAGAGCAATCAAGGAAATACCTGGTGAGCTCGGCATACGAGATCGAGATCATGTTTCTTTAAGAACTCGGTGACCCTATCGGCTCCGAAGGTATAGGAGACACCCCTATCATTATCACCCCAACCCTTGGTGTCTCTATCAGGATCAGACCAAAGGAGGTCACACAGAAGGCCCTGGTCTGGCACGTCTACTGGCCTCTCTATAGCTCTGATCTGATCCAAGCTATCCATTTCCGGTGAGAGTCCACCATGCATGCATAGGATCTTGTCATCGACCACTGCAGCCACCGGTAAACAATTGAAGCAGTCCGTGAAAGTTTTCCATAGACGGACACTGAAACGAGGCTTGCACTCATCATAGAATCCATATATTCTGTTGATAGAAGCACATTCATGGTTCCCTCGAAGAAGGAAAAAGTTGTCAGGGAACTTGATCTTGTAAGCAAGGAGAAGGCATATTGTCTCTATACTTTGTTTTCCTCTATCTACGTAGTCTCCAAGGAATAGATAATTGGAATCTGGTGGAAACCCGCCATACTCAAACAATCGCAAGAGATCTGGATATTGCCCGTGTATATCACCTGCATACAACCAGAATACAAACAGCAATATGTATCAAGTATTAAACAGGATCGGCATGTAATTCTTCTGCAGGGATATGCGAGTCCAAAAGGGTGTCATTTTTGCAAAATGTTGCCTTACTAATCAGCTCTATGAAATAACTCTAACATCTATCTAACATTGCAAATGGAAGTTGAGAGTTGCAGATAAAGATGGAATGCTTATTATAGTCAATGGCCAACATAAAGATGGAACAAGATCAAACAAAAAGGCAAGCAAATTGATATATAGATTGCATAAAAAAGAAGATAGGCCATTGATTGTGGAATTCCGATTGAACAGGCAGAAGAACAAGATGGGAGAGGGGGTGGATGAAGGAAGGAAGAAAAGGATGTACCGCAGATGTTGATGGGAGCTTCTAATGCAAGAAGAACAGGTTGAGCAAGAAAGACTTGCTTGGCGGTGACACAAAGCTGGTGGATTTCAGGTTCAGTCAGCTGGATGCGTTTCCCTCTATTATTCCTTCCTTCCAGCAACCTTTGTATCAGCCCTTCCAATCCCTCCATCCCAACCCTTCCCTTCTTCCTCCTTTTATCCACCGACATTCTGCTCCAACGTAGATTTGATCTCTCTCTCTCTCTTTTCTCTCTTTGTAATCAGTCTGGCATCCTAACTAATACTAAGATAAAATAAATAGATAGATGTACAATATCTAGGCAAGGCAATGAAATGAGGACGCAAACAAGTATCCCTTCATTCGTGATTAAGTTAAAACGTACATGAAAAGAGAAAGATGACCTGTTGGATGATATAGAGAGAGAAAGGGAGAGGGAGAGGGAGTTGGCGAAAGAAGCGCAAGAGTTGAAGATATATTTAGGGTGAAGAATTAGCTTCTCCCGACATCCATGCCAGCTGCGGACTGCTTCCATCCATTTTGTTCTCTTCCTTGAGAAGCCACCTTCCGCCTGTCTCTCTGCCTGCTGCCAAACCCAAATGCAATCCACTCATTAGATTAGGCAGCTTTCTTCTTCTTCTTCTTCTAATTAACACCTACTACTACTACTCGTAATAATCTTGCAAGGCATGATCATGTAGCCCTGTCTTCTTCTTCTTCTTCTTCTTTTTTTTAAAAAAAAACAGTTAATTCCCTAATTTATGGACAACGTGGGTATCCACTATTATACGCAAGCAGCACCAGTTAAAAAATGGCTAGACTTTTTTTGGTTTCGAATGAAACGTGATTCATCCGTTTCCTCAAAAAATCAGAAACAACAAAGCATGTTGTTCTTGACTTTCTTGGGAACGCGGACGGTACCGCGTTACCAGAGCCACTTCCACGTTTAAAGTATTCTTGAAGATGGATTTTGAGTAGCAAAATAAATTATAAATAAATGTCATGGTTTGCGAATTTGTGAGCTTGTACGTTAACAAAGCTTGTATATATATACATACACTATTTCATTGTTGGTTTTTTTTCAATCAAATTTAATATATTTTTTTATTTTGACAAGTTTTTAAAATTAATATTTTTTTACAATTTTATTTTTTAAATTTAAATTAATTATGAATTGAGCTTTTTGATTAAACTTTAATTTAGAATTTCATAGTGAGTTTTAAAAATTAGACTATATTTACACAATTCATCAAGATTTTATTTTTTTTGAAAGTTAATGTTTTTTTTTTCATCTTATTTTAGAGTTTTGTTTTGTTATTTTTTATTATTTATCTTTTATAAAACTAGTTTTGAATTCATAATCAAAGTCATGAGCTTGAAAATTTTTATTATTATTTTAATAAATTTTTTATCTTTAAATATTAAATTATTTAATAATCAAGTTTTACTTAGTGTTAAAACTAGAAAAAAAAATATAACCTAAACCTTATTGGGCTTGGATGAGTATTTTAATTTTTTTTTTATTTTGATGTATTTTAAATGTAGTTATCTTAGTGTTAACACTAGAAAAAAAAATATAACCTAAACCTGATTGGGCTTGGATGAGTATTTTAATTTTTTTAAAATAATTTTTTTAATTTTTATTTTTTAATATTTTATTTATTTAAAATTAAGCATTAATTAGATTTTTTTTTCCTGCTTTTATTCCTATAAGATCATCTTATTTTTATGTTTATAATTGTGAAGTTTGTGATTTAACTTGGTTAAATAGGGATTTGTTTTCTTGCTGCTTTATTTATTTATTTTAATTTAGTTTTTTAGACTTCAATTGTTTAATAATTTAGACTAGATAGATGGGGTTTTTTTATATTTTTTATTATTTTTTACCATTTGATTTAATATTTTTATATTTTATTATTTAAATTATTAATTAAAAGTTTTGATTTTTTCTAATATTATTTATTTATGAAAAAAACAAAAAGAATTGATCATCCGCAACAACTGTAGTAGATGTAATCTATAAATGAAAGATTATCATGACAGGTGATGCTTTATGCTCCAACAAATGGTGTGTAAACACGTACGTCCGTGACGAGGTTGTTTCAAGGTGGTCTGCTGGAGCTTTCGTAAATTTCAGTCCATCCCCCTTCCTTCCTTTCCTCTGGTGCTTGCTTCAGAACGCAAGTTAGTTTCGACAAGACATTTTCTTTTCAATTTGTCGGAGAAACATATGCTCAACACTTGTTTGTACTCTTTATATATATATATATATATATATATATAGAGAGAGAGAGAGAGAGAGAGATATTTTAAAATATATTTTATTAAAAAAATAAAAAAACTTATTTTAATATATTTTAAATAACTATTTTTAAAAAATATCCTAACATTGATACAAACACACACGTTCACTTGTGAATAAACACTTTATGAGAAGTTATATATATATATATATATATATATATATATACATATATATATAAGTTTTTCATTTTTCTGCAGAGTATTTAAATAAAAACCTCACACATGGATGCACCTTAACAAATTTTCTCCTTGCGTGTGCTTGTATTTGTAAAAACTAACAGGTATGATATTATTTAATATTATGATCTAATTATCAAAATTATATCTTTCTCGCGGTCCACGAGAGGATGTCAAAGAACAATGTGCACTTCAACACCTAGGCCAGGTATAGCCTGACCCCGGGTTAGTTTTCTTTTTATTTCCATGATGATTTAATTTTTTGGGCATTCCAAGAATTATTATCATTTATGTTCCATACAACCTCACAATATTATTTGTCATTTATTGCGAGTGACAACTTAAAATTATGTTTTTTTTTAAATAAAATAAAATAAAATCAAAACACAATTAGACACTGGAATTTAGAAAGGTACAATCTAGTATAATACATGGAGACAATATCAAGATTTAAACCTCCTCTTAAACTCAATCAAGAAGCCTATATACTAATGTACAAACAGCTACACGGCAGTCCAAGAATATCTACTGACACAAATAATTCCGATGCAATCTAATGATACAGTGCACTCAAGTTATGTAGTGCAGGCATGACACAACATCCCCTCCTTGCAGTTTCAAGATCAAAATAATGAAAACTCTTCTTTAGTTAGACCACACATGAACCAGACCATGCCTATTACCAGTGTAGATTTCATTGCGCTCTTCATCGTAAAAAAGGGCGGTTATGTCTTTCAAAGCCGCTGCCACTGTACTTCTCATCATCAAGCGGCTCTGCTTTGAGCTTCCAGCACTGCTGCTGCATTCCTCGTCCTTGGGACTGCCATTGGTGGCATTTATTTTAGCTAGGCATTTTCCTGTCAGGATATTGCTGATATTGATAGAACCAGCTGCATCCAGAATCAGACAGTGAGATTTGATAATTTCCCAACAAGAAGTTTTCTTCACTGCATCACAATTAAGGCAACTCCCAAAAGATCTTATACAAACAAAGGCCCGACAACTTATTGGTCTTTCCTCAAAAGCAATTCATGCAGGAACACTATCAGAGGGGTTGTCCTCGTGGACACCAACCAGAGAGACGAGAAAATCTACATTAACAAAGTGTCAGGAACACAGATGTTCCAAATTCTCCATTGATTATCTGTTCCTCTTGCCAACAATGTCTAATAGTTTTCATGCTAGACAAAAAAATCAAAAGTTGATACAGCATTGTGGCATCCAGACATGCTTTTAGGATCAACATTTATTCTTCTGAGTAGATCTAGAGCTCTAGATGAGAACAGATCTAACTCTAGACCATGTCACTTAAATTGGGTAGTTAATATGGACTGGTAAAAGTATCAAGTCACTTAAAAAAAGTGTCTGAAATAATAACATATACTGGATGATTGGAAACAAGACAGAAGTTCTAAAAAGTTACTGGATTACAACAAGCTAACAGCCTGACTCAAACAAAGTTTGTCAAATTAGATGATAAAGTTTCGCATAATTTCTTGGGTCAGTTCTAAGCAGCTTATTTATTAAGACAAACCGAAGCACAGAATTCACAAGGGATTCAAAATTATAGTAAGCTCATTTGGATCATAGGGGACCATCAGTGTACGAGAACAAGTTTTATTCTTGCTGGACAACCTGAAAGTATCTGACAATGTTCCAGCTGTTAATAGGCAGTGTGGCTAGAATTGACAGAAAGAAAATGTAAACTATCTGCTTAAAATTAAACAATTAAAAACTCAGACACGCTACAGTATAATAATAAGTTCATTTTTATGTTTAATAATTGCATTCTATAGAATTAAGATAATTTTTCTCCAAAAATGAGAAGAGAACAAAGGATTCTATACCTCATCTGGTATCGACCATGAGTATTTAAGCATTAGTATTTGCCAACCAAAAAGATGATAAAAAAAAAAATTACCATTGCCTTCCATCCATTGATCGTCAGAATCAGCCTTGCAGTACGAAATGATAAGATCCTGATCACTTGTTATGTAAATGTTATTTGTGTTACAGTCAGGATGCCATAAGAGATGATCCTCGAATGACGTAACAAGCTCTCCACGAAAATTCCAAACAGCAACAGTTCTATTTCTGAATGTTAAGAACAACTGGTTTTCGTACAGGAAGATAAATGCTGATGGTGTCATGAAGTCGGTTCTGCTAACTTCCCTAATACCAGTATGTCGAACCTGCATAAAGAAGATACAACTGCTGGAGCAGACAACAAGCCAAGCTGAAAGGTAGATACTGAAAAAGAAAGGAGGTATCTCACATCAAGAATCTGGAGATTCTCATTTTCTTGTTTGACAAGAAGCTTTTCATTAAATTGTTCAATGAAGTCCACCTTCTTATTTCGATGAAGAAGATGCTTGAAGTCTTTGAGAATTGTACCATCTTCTATTGACAAAATCTTAAGAGGAACATAGCCACTTGATCTATTTAAAATCAATAACATGATGCCTGGACTGATTCAGATGAAGCCAGACATAGGCGAAGTTAGAAGACATTTACGATGCAGAACAAACAAATCAAGGGCCAATCAAGCAAGACACGTTCCAGAAGAGAAAACGAGATGCATAGTGTTGTATGTGAAAGATGAATGAATGACAGTACAAATTGACTACCATGATTAGTAAAATTTACTGCCATGCATCTACACTAACAAAAGGTAAAAAGGCATAAGCCTCTATCATATTAACAGCATCTTATAATTAATAAGATAACGACGCATCTTAAACATTTACAGAGAGAGAGAAAGAGAGAGTACCTGATCTTGATTTCTTGCACATCTGTATCTGATATGGAGTATAGCATGGTGTAGTTCTTTAGGTCAAAAACCTTGTATATACTGATCACAGATACCAATAACAAAATATTAGAGGTAGGATAGCTGGGACATGTAATTGATGTATCAGATGGACTGTAAACGGTACCTATCTTGTGCTGAGTACGTTAGCACCTTTCCATTGACATCATCAAACTCCACAAAACCTGGCCACTTCAATGACTCGGACTCAAAAAGAGGAAAACCTGCATCTGGCTTACCCCGTCGAATGTACCTAAACATTTAAAATACAAGGCATCATCATCATCACACAACTAGGACACACACAAGTCATGTACGACAGAAGTTGACAAGAGAAGTGAAAGGTTGGGGAAGCGCAGTCGCACTCAATTCTCGTCGATCTGCATTTCAAGGAGCTGAAGTTATCCGAGGCATAGACCGAAACAGTGATGAGAGAATCATTGTTTTTATTGTAGAACAAACTCCGAATGACTTCATCAGGACTCACATTCAAAAAACATATCCTCTGATTTGTCTCTGCGTTTCAAATAGTGAACAGCAGATAAGA